GCGCAGACCATGAAGGGCTCCCCCTACGCGACTGCCTTCATGACCGCAATTGTGGAGATGGAGAACTGGCTGCTTAACACGCAGGAGTGCGCCGAGCCCTGCTGCGGTAGCATGATACAAGACGCGCTGCGGGGCCATTCGTATCAGTGGTGCTGCCACGGCCTCCATTGACCACGGCGTGATGATATGTCAGGAGCGGTTTGCGTATGCGCTCGGGGCAGCACGGAGTGCCCTGCACGCTCTTTACCTCGCATCCCAAACGTTCGATCTGTTTGTGTATGGTCTGATGTGTCGATCGAGCGAGAGTCCACGCATATTCACTTTGAATGTGCATAGTGTGTGCCTGCAGCTGGTGTGATGTGTTTGGGGATGCGTGCTAGGTGAGGCGAGTGTGTTGTAGCTTTGATCGGGTGGAGGCCCAACCATCAGAGGCTGGGGTGTGTGAAAGTCTCTGTGAGGCAGCCCACGCTCATGAGGCGTGGTTCCGTGCCTCTGCCGCGCATGACGTGCAGACGAGGTTGCGCCCAGGCTTCCATTACTGCGGCCTCGCGTCCGGACAGCAGCGCCCGCTCCTCCAGCGGCCCCCGCGCCTCCTCGCAGGCGCCGCGGCTCCTTGGCGTCGCGGTGCCGCTGCGGTGCCGTGCTGTCCAGTCGTCGTGCTGTCCGGGGGCAGGCCGCCGTCGGGGTGTTGGCGGTGCCGCGTGTGTCGCCGCCACAGTGCCGTTGCGTCGCCACTCTCAGGCGCCCCGCTACCATGATACGCCCGTGTCGAAGAAACGCAGCACTTTTTGCGCCGGCGGCTAGGCAGAGGGACTGCGCTGGCGAGTCGAGCAACACGGAGAGTCTCAGGCGAACTCAGCCACCGTGCAGAGGAAGGAAGGAGAGCGACGAGCCGGCCCAGAGACTAGGAGGGACCAGGCCCGCTCAGAGCAGCCCCGGGTTGCGGCGGGGTGTTGAAACGCCACACGTACCATGTTCAAAGGGTCTGGGTTCAACACGTTGCGTGCTGGCTCGGCACGTGTTGCGCCAGACCTACGCTTTCAATCTGCGTCTTGAACTCCGTGTCGACACGCTACACGGGCTGCGTGTTGCGCAGCTCTCGGCAGCTGAGCCCGTGCCGCGCCGCCCGCGCCGCCGTCTCCCGGCGCCCGAGGCCCGGCTGCGCCGCCGCCGGCCGGCGTCGCCGGCGGCCAAGCCGGCTGGCGGCCAAGCGGCGCGAGCCCCCGCCGCGCCCGCGGCGCCTGCCGGTGGCGCGGCCCAGGCGACGAGCAGCTCTCTCCGCGGGCGCCCTGTCTGCCCTGAGAGACCTGCGGCGTGCGTCTCCCGAGGCGTCGCCGCTCTTCGTTCGGCCCGGCGATGGTGTATGCGGTGCACATATCTCGGGCGGCGCGCCCGGCGGGCCGGCTCAGATAAGGCTCGCTGGCCACGCGCAGAAGGGAGGGGGGAAGGCTTCTTAGAAGCACCCCTGCTTCTCAGAAGGCGCGGGCCTTCTTTGTAGATGTAAGGTCGGCGCCTTCTAAGAAGCAGCCTCCTTCCAAGAAGCCTTCCCCCCTCCCCCTACGCCCTTGTGCGCGCCGCCAAGCTCGGAAGCTCCCCAGCCTGCTGAGACGTGCTCTGAGCCATGCCTTTTAAGTCGGGCGTGTCCCTCTACAGGAGGAAATGTTCAAAGATAGTCAAAAAAATACTCTGGGGACGATCTCGGGATGGCTTTTGGCTTATTTTGGGGGGCATTCTTAGAGTATGGTTTCACGTTCGCCCGGAATCCGCCTGCAGGGGCACATGCCCGACCCAAGCTTTCCCCAAAGACACAACACACACAAACTTCTCAGAAGGCGCGAGGGCTTCTGAAAAGTCCCGCCTTCTGAGAAGACCTCCTCCTTCTCATTCCCCCCCTCGCTCGCCGCCAAGCATGGTTGTTCGGTCCTCCGCGCCGGAAAGCTATTCACCGTACCGGTTTCGCTGGCCGCGCCCCGCTCGCGAAGTGCCGACATGGCCTCCCAAGGCATTTGCATCCTTATCGCGCGTCCTTATGATGCGGGTTGACTGTAGTATTAAGTCGGGCCTGCCCCTCTACACGAGGAGTATCCAAAAATAGTCAAAAAATAGTATGTGGACGATTTGTATAGTTTTTTGGGGCATCTTTTGAGCATTTTTGTGTATCTATTATTTTTCGTCCAAAATCTCCCTGTCGGGGGACAGGCCCGACCTAACTGGAGTACGGTGCGTAGTTGTTCGGTCCTCCGCGACGGAAAAAGGATGGATGCACCGTGCCGCCTTGGAGCGTGGCCTGAATCGGGCCGGACGAAAGGGGAGCATAGGGCAAGGGGGGGTAACGAAATCTGCTGCATGCAGCTGGTTTCGGCCCCACCGAGGGGCCCCTTCCTCGATACATAGCCACCTCCGGCGCCGGGAGGCGCCGGGAAAATCAGCCACGCGAACTGATTCTCAAACTCCTTTTTTTCGGCGGCGAGCGAGGGGGGGAATTGGGAAGGAGAAGGCCTTCTCAGAAGGCGGCGGGACTTCTCAGAAGCCCTCGCACCTTCTGAGAAGTTTTTTCTGTCTTCGGGGAAGGCTCAGCACACTTCTCAGAAGTCCGGGGGACTTCCGAGCCCTCTGAGAGGGCACGCCCCTTCTCACTTCCCCCCCTGGCTCGCCGCCTGCTTCTGCTATCCCCCCCCCCCTTTCTTTCGCCCAGGCCGATGGAAGGGGGTCCGGGCCTGGTATACGGCGGTGCACGAGCGCCGAGGAGGAGGAGGAGGAGGAGGAGGAGGAGGAGGAGGAGGAGGGCGTGCCCCCTGGACCTTCGGCGATGTCGGCCTCTATAGGGGGCCCGTGGTTGGGCCCCGAGGCGCCTGCAGGAGTGGATCCCGGGGCGCCGGACGATGCGGAGGGGAAAGAAAAACCGCACCGTCGCACAAGGATCTCGTCGATGCCCAGGAAGCCCTCGAGCAGTATTGGACAGTGAGGGGGGGGGGAGGGCGAGAAGCCAGAAAAGGTGGGACAGGGTTGGGAAGCACAGGGTTTGTGTCTACTCACTTCTTTGTGTGTCCCTGGGCCCCTTCAGACCAGGCCCAGGGATGGGGATGGGACCTCCGGGGCCGCGGGCTGCGAAAGTCACGTCGGAGGCCGTCCTGGAAGTGTTTCGCCGTGGTTCGTCGGTCCGGGCTCCCTGGGCTTTCCCTGGCACTGAACCGCCCTGGGAGCTTCCCTGCTTTTCCCTGGCGTCCGTCTGGCAAGCGAGAGGAGAGAATTCGGGATGAAGAGCCGGTCTCGCAAGCGGGAGCTGCAGGGGCCAGGACTCGTGTCCACAAGGACCCATGTGTTTCATTCATGCCAAGGAGCACATGCCGGCACTTCTGTTTCAAGCTGCCGCCGCCTCGCGGGCCGTGGCCGGACGGCTCCCCAGGAGTGGGGGCGTCGTCGCCGAAGGTGCACGTGATAGAAGTTTGCCGGGCGACGGCCTGTCCTGTGCTCCCGAGGCGGGCACCAAAGGGTCAGGTGGGTGGGAGGGGCGGAAGGAGACGACTACGCATTTCCGCGGATCCCGAGGAAATTATGGACGTGTGGCTGAAGGTCCAGGCCGTCTGGTTATACTTGGAACCCATCTTCGGCTCGGAGGACATTGTCAAGCAGATGCCCACGGAGGCGGCGCTCTTCAAGGAGCGCCAGCCACCGTCGCTCGAAGAGGGAGGGGCGCACCACACCCCGTTGGCTCATGGCTGAAGGGAAACAATTTGTGGACGCCCCCCCCTCCCTCAAATTTAGAGTTGGCACGGGCGGGGAAGATTGTGGTCGAAGTGTAACTCATTCAACCCACCGCCAATTTTGATAATTTAGGGGGGGGGCATTGACAGATTCATGTGGCATGAGTGTTCCCTACTTTCTTCCGCAGACTGGATGGAGGGCGACGTGGACTGGGATACTTAGGAATGGGGATGAGTGGGGAGTGGCTTGGCCGACGTGCTCGGCCGCGCCCTGCTGCAAAATCAGGTGCTGCGTGGGAGGAGTACGGAGGTCCAGGAGCGAAGCACATCTGGCGCTACATGCGATTCCCGGGTGGTGCTCAGTCTGGTCTGCGCAGAGTGGGTGTCGGTAGGCCTCGCCCTCGCATCACCACGGGCATGCGACAGAGTCGCGTCGTGTCGTGTCGACGCGGCGGCGACCCCGACGCGAGCGTTCAGGGTTGAACGCCGCCAGTGGTCCAGAATCGGCTGATATGGAACGATACGGCAACCAGAAAGCCGCCAATCATTCAAGGTTGAACACTCAACGCGGAGCAAGAAATCAGCGCTGGGTCGTCACGACACGAACTTATTGTAGCCGAGATCCGTTCGACTCAACTCTTGCACGCCATCGTCCACAACGGAACAAATGAGCACCCCAGATTGCCTGGTCAAGCATGTAATCGTGATGTCCTCACATGTGTTTTTCTCAAGTGTGTCTGAATCTAGCGCTCTGGGGCCCAGCCCGACTCTGTGCCTGGATTGTGGGTCAGAGGCCCATGGGCCTCCTGTACGCCTCTGGTGACATCTGTGAAGCGTCTTGGCGGTCCGGGGGTCAATCCTGGCATTAGAGTGCTCCTGGGGCCGTTTCGGAGTCGACCCTCCGGAGCCAGAAACAATGACAGCAGACTGCTCCGGCCCATCCTGTGGTGTTGGGTCCTAGTTTTGAAGAGAGCGCCCCGCGACCTTCCTCCTCACTGTACGGGGTACGGGACCACGTGCACGAAGCGGCGTCGCAGCATTGTTTGTCGCAGTCTTCTTTGCGACAGGAAGTGGACTACTCCTGGCGCAGCACCATGGCCATGGCGAAGCAGGAAGAGAAGGCGATGGCGGTCACCAAGGTTGAGGGCCTGCTTCAGACATTGAAAGACTGCCACGTGCACCTGGAGACCGTGCAAAAGGGCTTGAATGACTACCTGGAGACCAAGCGATTGAGGTGTACGGTCTGCTTTGCTTGATGCCTCGCCATCGGTCACCCGATCTATCCCGTCTCCCCTGTTTTCTGGCGTGCTCTCTCTGTCTCTCTCTCCCTCTCTCCCTTTCTTTTTGTCGCTCTCTCCCTCTCTCTCTATCCCACTCTCTCCCTCTTTTTCTTCCTCTCTCTCGTTCTTTCTCTCTCTCTCTCTCATTCTTTCTGTCTACAGGCCTGGCATCGCTCGGACGTGTGCATTTTTCCTCGGCGAGGACCGTCGAGGAGCATCCTGGATCATCAGGCGAAAAAAACACGTACGAAACCGAAATATGCGGTTGGAATAGACGTTCGAGCAATGGCAAGCGTACGCGGTGGGGAACTTTTGGGTAGCGTGTCGCTCCGCCAGTTCTGGCCCACCCCAGGCGTCAAAGTCTCGAGCTTTCCCGAGCCGTCCGCCCCGCGGAGCGGAGCGACACGAAAACCGCTCGCAAGGCAGTGCGTTTCGTCGGTGCCGCCGTGGCAACGCGCTATCCACAAGTTCCTGACGACATATGCATACATACACGTGCGTCTCCCCTCATCCCTATCTCTCTCTCGTTCTAGCTGTCTCTCGTTCTCTCGCTCCATTCCCCCCTGTCTCACCCTCCTTCTCTAGCTCTTTGTTGTTGTGTGTTTCTCTTTCTCTTTCTCTCTCTCTCTCTCTCTGGTTTTCTCTGCATCGGTATGTACTTACGTTATTATGCTGTGTTATGTTCATGTAGATTTGTGTTTTCTCTCTCTCTTTCTCTCTCCGTTTCTCTCTCTCTCTCTCTCTCTATATATATGTACAGTCACGCATACTTGTACACCGCATCCATATGTGAGCTGGACACCGCCTCCGAGGGCGAGGAAGCGTGGGCGGGTCGCCTGGCGCCGCCGGCCACGAAACCCAAGGCTTCCAGAGCAGGCCTCCCCGTCTATTTCTGCCGACGCGGTGCCTGACAGGCCCCAGGAGAGGATGATGATGATGATGATGATGAGGAGGAGGAGGAGGAGAAGGAGGAGGAGGAGGAGGGGGAGGAGGCTGAGGTATGAGGGGGGGAGGGAGGAATGGAATGGAAGCAAGACCAGCAGTCGAAAGCCCGCTAGCCCAAGGAATAAGGGGGATCACTCCCACTGGGCCTCGTTGCCCAGCTGCTGTTCGAAGCGCTTGGAGGCACAGACACACATATATATATATGTATATATATACACGTACATACACATGTAAACCAGCGTGGACCTCCTAACAGCGTGGGTTCTTGCAACCTATGTTATGCAACGTCATGTCGTGCATTCGACCTGCCTAACTTGAGGTTGACAACTCCACTGCTCGCGCAATCATTCCACCCACCCGCCCGCAACTTGGCTTGCGAAACCCAAACGGTGGCGATTGCGATGACTCCTTGGCGCTGGCAGGCGCATCGCTGCAGGCGCGCTAGCGCGCGCAGGCTCGCACGGAGAGCGATTGGCCAGGTAGCCTGGTGCGACCGACGCGGCCGAGGTGTCGCTGACCGCTGAGGACTCCCCAGCGCGTCTCGCAGGCCGCGCTGACGCATGGGCACTTCGGTGCGAGTCGGTGACTCGAGCGGGCGGGGTATCATGGCGACGGCGACAGCGGCAGACACGATGATGATAGTAGCGATGCTGGTGACGAGGATGACGATGACGACGGCAAGGCCGACGACGGCGGCGATGCTGATCACGCCGATGACGATGAATGGTGTCCACGTGCCGGCGTTGAAGGTTTTGAAGGATTTCGCCATGCGCGCGAGGCTGAAGCGCGAATAGCCCGCATGGTATTGGTTGGCAGAGATCGCCGTCCCCCCAGCACGCGCGCAAGCGCGTGCGAATGGTGTCGGCATGTGCACGCGAAAGGACCGCTCGGTCGCAGTTTACATGAATAGAGTGGACGAGAACAAAAAAAAACGGTCTCCGATGAATTGGTAGGCGCGCGCGCGTAGTTTGTGTGAATAGCCACGTTGCACAACCATTGTTTCTCTTGGGTGTCGGGGCTTTCGACCTGACATCCTTACGGAACCAGGGGTTTCTGAAAGATGTTGGCATTCGCCCGGCGACGCGCACGTGTGGACATCGCTTTCTGTCCCCAACCCTCCTGTGTTGGGTTTTCGTTTTGGCTAGAGCACTGCGGTCGCACATCTCCTCCTTCACCCCCCCCTCATCCTCCCCCCACTTCCTGCTTCGTCGTGCGCTGCTTCCTGGGTCCCCATGGGTGGCTGCGAACGGTGCAACTGTAGCCACTTCCGTGGGCTCGGGAAGTACCGAGACCTCGCAGCCCGCTGGGAAACTGCGAATTGCGCAACGTCGCCACCTTTGCTGGTTCCTGGGAGGCACTGCGTACGGGAGAACCAGGACACAGCAGAGTTGTGCAAGTTTCGAAATTTCCGCCGGCCGCTTTGGAAGCACGGCGGAGTACGGGAGAACCCGAGACCTCGCAGCTCGCCACTTTCGTTGGTTTTTGGGAGGCACAGCGGAGTAAGGGAGTACCCGAAACTTCGCATCTCCTTGGGAGGTCGACAACTGCGCAGCTGTCGCCACGTGCGTGAGCTCCTGGGAGGCGCGGCGTAGGAGAGAACCTGAGACCCGGCAGCTCCCTGGGAGGATTCGAATTGCGCAACTGTCGCTACGTTCGTGGGCGCCTGTGCAGCACAGCGAAATGGGGGAGTACCCGAGACCTCGCGCTCCCTACGTGGCTGCCAGCTGCGCAACTGTCGCCTCTTTCGTGGGCTCTTGGAGCGGCACGGCGGAGTAAGGAAGCACCCGAGACCTCGCAGCTCCTTGTGATGCTGCGAGCTGCGCAACTGTCGCCACTTGCGTGAGATCCTGGGAGTACCAGCGGGGTCGGGGGTCACGGGGATCCAGGCGAAACTTTGAGGCTCCTTGGGAGGCGATGAACTGCGCAATCGTCGCCTCGTTCGTGGGCACCTGGGAGGCACGGAGGAGATGAGGGCAGCGCAGACATTGTGCATATCTGGCGTTCTGTGTTTCTTGTATGGGGCGCTCATACACATATTCCCCTCCCGTGGAGAGGGGGTTGGGTACGTTTCGGGTGTTCTTTAAGGGATTCGGGGCAAGTGGTGAATTTTAACAAAACGGGTGTGCGTGCATAGTGTTTTTTGTGAGGGATGAGGAGGGTTGAACCCAGTTTGGCTTGGATAGTGCGAATTCAAGGTTCGAGTGGACGATGCGGCAGAGTCATATGTAAACTGCACATCCCAAGGGGGGGGGGGGCGGGAAGTCGGGAGGGTAGCGTGGTATATTTCAATTATTCAAACAGGAGAACGCATGGTGTTCTGCAATATATACACATATATACGGAATATTTATGGTACAACACATGTAGACCGGCGTAACTGTGCAAAGCTGTGAAAGGACGGCAGTGTAATGCATGGCGCAGCGTAGCAACGCAGAGCAATGCAACGCACATAATTCCAAAACAATGCAACGCAAAGCAACACACTGCAATGCGAGTTGCAATTTGTAACGCGCAACAGCGCAAACCATCCAAAGCAGTGCACCGCAATGCAGAACAAGGCCCAGGCGACGGGCGGCGACGGGGCGGCGACGGCGGCAACGTAGCCGCCAGAGGGGCGCACTGTCCCAGACTACGGGCCGCGACGAGGCGGCGACGGGGCGGCGACCGTGGCAACGGCAACATCGTCGTCAGAGCGGCACACCAGCCCAATTCCCCAGATTAGAGGCATTCGCTCGCTCGCCCCGCTGACCACAACCTTTCTGCCGACCTCCGCCTGTCATCAGCTGCCCGCTCTCCCGCGCAGCCTTTACCCACGGGTTTTCTCGGGGGTGGCCGTTCCGAAAGGTTTTCTGCCGTCCGTGCCCCATCCATGCCGCACCGCAATTCCCTCACATCTCTCGTCCCTTCCCCCAACCTCCTCGCCCCTCCTCCCCCGACCGGGTGTCTCCATCTCCCCTTCCTCTGATTTCCCCTCCGCGTCCACGTCCACCTCTAGACACACACAACTGCCACTGCCAGATTCCCCCGCTTCTTCTTCCTGTCCAACGACAACCTGCTCGAGATCCTTTCGGAGACGAAGGACCCCACGCGCGTGAACCCGCACATGAAGAAAGCTTTCGAGGGCATACAGTCGCTCGAGTTCACGGCCGACAGCAGGATCGTCGCCATGAACTCGTCGGAGAAGGACGAGCTGCACACTCTTCCCCCCCTTCCTCCATGAAATGCCCCCAAAGAACCCTTCCTCCTCCATTATGTCGTTGTTCTGCTATCCTGCCCTCTGCTGCCGTCGCAGCTCCTCGTCCAGCGGGGCATCTCGCTCCGCTTCTGCTTCCTGCTTCTGCATTGCCACCTCGCTTCCCCGTGACCCCACCGAGAGACTAGGAGTGATCGAGAACCGGAAGCACGCAGTGCCTCGACACATTGATGAATCTGACGTGGCCAGTCTCACGCACTTTGTGTCATTGGAGATCGCTTCGACAGCGGCGACCGCCCTCGGCTTCGGCATGATCGCGAGCATTCTTGCGGGCACCCTCGCTTCGCCCAAGCAGATTCGACGACGGATGCTTCGCACATGGCTCGATCCCATTGCGTACCCCCACGGCGTTCGCAAATGTCGCAGCTCAAGAACTGAAAGACCACGACATCCAGCCTAGCAGAAAAGGCATTGTTGCGATGTGCATGCTGTACGACGGATGAGCACGGCGTGGGTAGCGATGTGGGTAAGCGTCACCGGAGGGTGCGACAGAATTCCATCAATCTCCATCTGACCCAGCTCGCCCCGCGGACAGACAATGCAGGCGTTCATCCAGAGGACGCGCAGAGTAACGTCGGCGCCGACGGAAATGGGATCGCCGAGCAGCTGGCGGCGCATTGGAGAGTTGATGCGTTATAAACTGACTAATTGAAGAGCCTTTACGAAGCACGCGGGGTTCCAGCAGCCGACGCTATCACCAGAGAGATGGTGCCTCTGGACCGACGACATCGAGAGAGCATTGCGGATAGCCGACACTTCCCAATCAGGTCCAGGCGGAGTTCCGTTCCAGGCGTGGCGTTGCGTGGGTGCACTCGGTTTCTTTCCCCATCCCCCTCCTCCGTCTTCTCCTCCCCGCGTGTGCCCTTGCCGTCGCTGTCATGCGTCATATCTCGTCGGGATCCGTTATCGGTGTTGCCTCGCCTACTCTTCCGCCTCCTCCTCCCCTCCCTCTGCATGCCCTCATCTGCCGCTCGTCCTGTCATGCAGTTGATGCTCCTCGCGCATCCTCCCCCCTTGCCTGGCTGCCACTTTTCAGCGTCGGGGGGAGCCAGGAAGTGTGAAGAGAAGGGAGGAGGAGAATGAGGAAGGAGGAGAATGCGCGGGCGCGGCAGTATCATGTCTTCGCTTGCCATCGCACCTCTTGGCATTGATTGGCGAGATGCACTCCGATGGAGCAAGGAATAACTGGGAACGGGGAGGGGAGGAGTCGGGGAGGAGGAAAATGAGGAAGCGTCTGCGGAGGAGGAGGAGGAGGATACAAGAGGCGGATTAGGAAGTGGTAGCAGCAGCAGCAGCAAGCGGAGTGACAAGCGCAGGGCGGGAAAGGCAGGGTAGTCAACCATTCGAGCGCTCCTCGTCCCCAGACGCTGCACCCTCCTCCCTCCTCCTCCTCCTCCTCCTCCTCCTCCTCCTCCTCCTCCTCCTCCTCCTCCCCCTCCTCCTCGTTCTCCTCCTCCTCCCCCTCCTCCTTCTCGTTCTCCTCCTCCCCTTCCTCCTCGTTCTCCTCCTCCTCCCCCTCCTCCTCCTCCTCCTCCTCCTCCTCCTCGTCCTCCTCCTCCTCCTCGTGGATCACCCATAAGGCCCAAACCCGGAAGCCATCCGGGCCCTTCTGCCTCGATCCTCAATTTTTCGCTTCCGGCACCAACTCCGCAGACAAAGCTGCGTGGTTGTCCACAGCCTCTCGCGATGTATCCTCCCGTTCCCGTCCTCCTCCTCCTCCTCCTCCTCGTCCTCCTCCTCCTCCTCCTCTCCTCCTCCTCCTCCTCCTCCTCCTCCTCCTCCTCCTCCTCCTCCCCCCCTTCCGCCTCCTCCTCCTCCTCCTCCGCCTCCTCCTCTTCCTCATACTCCGCCTCCTCCTACGCCTCATCCTCCTCTTCCTCCTCCTCCTCCTCTTCCTTTTCCACCTCCTCCTCCTCCTGACCGGCAGCAGCGTCTCCAAGGGGCGGCGTAACTTGAGCCACTCAGGCTTTCTCGCACACGAGCGTTTGATGTTCAGCCTGCTGGTAGCCCTCCTTGTCCTTGTCCTCCGAGTTCCGTCATTGGGCCTCCACCGGATTTCCCGTTTCGTCTGTCCTCGCCAACGCCGTCTTCCACGGGAAGCAGAGATTGGCAAGGGGTCAGGGAACAGGAGGGCCCCCAGGGACGAGGCGGAGCGGGACGGAAGAAGGAGGCAGCGAATACGCGGAAGCAATACGCTAGAGCAAGAAATTGATGATGCGGAGGAGGATAATGAGGAGGAGGGGACTGTGAGAGACAGGCATGTGAGGCAAAATCGGAGAAGGATCATGAAGAGTAGGATGGGAGACCAGGAATTGGAGGCAACATCGGATGAGCAGGAGTAGGAGGAGGAGGAGGAGGAGGAGGAGGAGGAGGAGAAGGGCCAGAGAGACAGGATTTGGAGGCAAAGTCGAATGAGCAGGAGGAGGAGGAGGAGGGGTGCGAGGCGCGACGAGGAGCGAGGATGAAGGAGAATGAGGAGCAGAGGAGCAGGAGGAGAGGGAGGAGGAGGAGGAGAAGAAGGAAGCTGGATGGGTCAAGTGGCGGATGATGAGGAGCAGAATGGAGCATAGGGAGAAGGGATGGGAAGGACAAGGAGGACGACAAAAAGAAGGAGGGCCACTCCTTCTCCCGCTCCTCCTCCTCCTCCTCCTCCTCCTCCTCCTCCTGCCCCTCCTCCTCCTCCTCCTCCTCCTCCTCCTCCCCCTCCTCCTCCTCCTCCTCCTCCTCCTCCTCCTCCTCCTCCCACTTCTGTCTTCTTTGCTCTTCCCCCCCTTCTCTATCTTTTCCCTCGCTCCCCCCCCTCCATCACCCCATCTGTCCTCATCGCTCCTCCCCTGCCTCCCCCTGAGTCTGCCAGGAGACTTCGACAGCGTGCTTGCTTGTCTGGCCTTGTGGCCATCCTTCGCCGCCCTCTGGGCGGCCTTGCTGCTGCGTGGAGCTGAGGCTAGGCGTCGGCCCGCGTCCACACAGAACCACCTCCCCCACCTTCCCCTCCTGCTCCTCCCCTATTCTGGTTAGCGCCGGCTAGCGTCGCGGCCGATGCCGTCTCGATCAAGTGAAGCGGCAAATCGAGAAAGAGAGAAAGAGGAAGAGAGAGAAGAGAGAGAGAAGAGAGAAGAGAGAAGAGCAGAGTAGAGTAGAATAGAAAAGATTATATAACAGAAGAGAAGAGAAGAGAAGAGAAGAGAAGAGAAGAGAAGATAAGAGAAGAGAAGAGAAGAGAAGAGAAGTTATGATAAGAGAAGAGAAGAGAAGAGAAGAGAAGAGAAGAGAAGAGAAGAAGAGAAGAGAGTGGAGCAGAGTAGAGCAGAGTAGAGTCGAGCGGAGCGGAGTGGAGTAGAGCAGAGTGGAGTGGAGTGGAGTAGAGTAGAGAAGAGAGAAGAGTGGAGCAGAATAGAGTAGAGTAGAGTAGAGTAGAGTAGAGTGGAGGAGAGAGTGTAGTAGAGGAGGGTAGAGAGAGAAAGCGTTTGAGAGAGAGGCGGTCCCATCCAGCTCATGCCGCCTGCTCGGTGGCGCACGCGACGGCTGGGCGGCAGCGCAGCGGCGACGGGCCTCCGACACGACGCCGTCCTCGGCGGCCCTCCTCCTCAAACTCCCATCCCCTCCTCCTCCCCCTCCTCCTCCTCCTCCTCGTTCTTCTCGTTCTCCTCCTCCTCGTTCTCCTCCTCCCCCTCCTCGTTCTCCTCCTCCTTCCCCTCCTCCTCCTCGATCTCCTCCTCGTTCTCCTCCTCCTCCTCCTCCTCCTCCTCCTCCTCCTCCTCCTACTCCTCCTCCTCCTCCTCCATCTCCCTCCTCCTCCTCCTCCTCGTTTCTCCTCCTCCTGCCCCTCCTCCTCCTCTCTTTCTCCTCCTCCTCCTCCTCCTCCTCCTCCTCGTTCCCTCCTCCTCCTCCCCCTCCTCCTCCTCCTCGTTCTCCCTCCTCCTCCCCCCCCTCCTCCTCCTCCTCCTCCTCGTTCTCCCCTCCTCCCCCTCCTCCTCCTCCTCGTTCTCCTCCTTCTCCTCTTCCTCGTCTCCTCCTCCTCCTCCTCCTCCTCCTCCTCCTCCTCCTCCTCCCCTTTGTCGCACGCCCCATCCCCTCCTTCATCCTCCTTCATCCCTCTTCCGTATACTCGGTTCTTCCTTGCCGCACCCCGAGACGGGTCGGTAGGGTGGGCTGGGCATTTCGCTTGGTACTTCCTCACCATGTGTGATCCTGAAGCTTGGCATCCGCAACAGCTTCACGGATGGAGGGCGGGCCGTTTTCAAAATGTGGTTCTCGCCTCAGCGCCACGCACTACACTCTCGTTCTTCAAGAGCTTCACGGATATAGAGGGCGGGCCGGTTTCAAAATGTTGGTTTCGTGTTAGCGCCGCGCGCACTCGCCTCTGAAAGTGTGCAAGGGTTTTGCGGTTGGAGGGCGGTCTTTTGCGACATGTGGTTCTCGTTTGAGCGCCGCGCACTGTCATCTCAACATGTTTCAAGTCTTTGCAATAGTTGTTATGGCTGGCGTCCCAGAACGTGTGTTTAGGCACGGTTTCGGAATGCCAGGGTGCGACGGTCACGTTGATTCGCGATTCGCGGTGTTGACGTCCCAGAGATTGCGTTCTGGCACGATTTAGGATCGCGCCAGGGCGCCACCGGATCGCTGATTTGCGGCATTGAAGTCCCAGGAGTGGTGCTTTGGCACCGTTGAAAATTTCGCACACGGTTGTTTTCCAACGGGGCTCTTCCCGCAGTGAAGATAGTTCCGTATAGGAGCCTACGAAGCGGGAGTTTGGAGGGAGGGTTTCTTGCAAAATCGTTGATGCGCCGCGAGTTTACATGGGTCTTCCGCCTCCCCCTCCTCCTCCTCGTCCATTCCTTCTCCATATCGATGACTACTCCCAGTCGCACCCCAACACCAGTTTTTAGGGCGGGCCGGGCGTTTCGCTTGAGACTTCATCAGCACTGATGACTCTTAAGTTCAAAATTTGCAAGAGTCACAGATGGAGGGCAGGTGGTCTTTAAAATGTGGCTCTCGCCTTAGCGCCGCGCAAATTCGGGTTAAACATTTGCAAGAGTTTGACCAGCTGAGGGCGGCTCCTTTTCAAAATGTAGTTCTCGCCTTAGCGCCGCGCACATTCGTCGTAAAATATCACAAGAGCTTCACGGATGGAGGGCGAGTGGTTTTGAAAATGTGGTTCTCGCCCTAGCGCCGCGCGCATTCGTTGCTTCATGGTTTTATTTATTTTTTATTGCAAGAGCACCACGAATTGAGGGCAAGTCGTTTTCAAAATGTGGCTCTCGCCTTAGCGCCGCGCACATTCGGCTTAAACATTTGCAGGAGTTTGACCAGCTGAGGGCGTTTTCAAAATGTGGCTCTCGCCTCAGCGCGGCGCACATTCGGTTTAAAACTTTGCAGCGGTTTGACGGATTCCCATGATCAATGTACAAGAAAAGGTGTTTTGGAAGGGTTCAGGTTTATGAGGTGCACAAGTTATGTCGATTCGCAGTGTTCAGATCCCAGGAATGGCGTTCTGGCAAGATCCGCGGCGTTGGAATCCTGAGAACAATGTTTTGGCATGCTTCAGGGTCTTCAAACCGTTGTCTTCTAACGAGGCTGTCCCCTCAGTAATAACGAACCGTTGTGGGGGCCCGTGAAGAGGGAGCTTGGAGGGAGGGTCTGTTGCAACATCGTTGATGCCTCTTTTGGGTTTACGCTGGTCCTCCTCCTCCTCGTCCCCCTCTTCTTCCCCCTCCTCCTCGTCCTCCTCCTCCTCCTCCTCCTCCTCCTCCTCCTGGGAAGAGCCCGAGGGGGACGGGCGGAGTGAGGAAGGGCCGGCGCGAAAAGCCACACGGCGGCACGGCGGGAGCGCGCGCCCAGCGGCGCTCTTCCGCTGGGCGCGCCCAGGAGCGCGTGCCGCTGGCCACGCCGGTGGACCCCGCGAAGGCGCGCGGCAGCGTGGAGCCCCGCCCGGGGGCGTCGGCGGGCACGTTCTGTGGCGCCGACGGGAGTAGGGACCGGCTCGGATGTTCGAGGTTCGACGATAGGGGAGCAAAAAGTGACATAAGCATTAAAAACTCGGAGGTCCGCGCGGATTTCTCGGATCGTCGACGAGAGCCGACGAGAACGTCGAACCGACGAGACCGACGAGAACGTCGAACCTCGAACATCCGAGCCGGTCCCTACCTCGGGGAACAAAAAGTGGCACAAGCATAAAAACTCAGAGGTCCGCGCGGATTTCTCGGATCGGCGCTGGACCCCACTCGCTGGCGCGCGGAGCGCGCCAGGGGCGGCGCCGGAGGCGCCGCCAGGGGGCGGCGCTGGAGGCGCCGCCGGGGGGCCCCAGCGCCGATCCGAGAAATCCGCGCGGACCTCCGAGTTTTTATGTTTATGTCACTTTTTGTTCCCTTAGGTAGGGACCGGCTCGGATGTTCGAGGTTCGTCGTTGCTGCGCGGTCTTTTCCAGCCGCGGGGGAGCGGAGTTATGATCCGAAAGGCAGGGGCTAAGTTTTCAGGAGGAACAGAAACACACAGACACAATTAATCGTCGATTCCCCAGAAAATATGGGAAAATATGGGAAGTGGGGGGGAAGACAAAAACCTAGAAAATATGGGAAAATATAGGGAATCGTTTTATTTGTGTGTATGTATGTGTGTGTGTCCCAGGGCCCCTTCATTAGTGAACACCCCCCCTGCCCTCCAAACTCAAAGCTGGCACGCGCGGGGGGAGACCGCGGTCGAGGTGCAGCTCATCAGACCCACCACCAGCTTGGAATGTCGGGGGGAGGGGGAGGCGTTCGCAGATGAATGTGGCATGCGTGTTCGCTATTTTTGTTCCCGAGGCCTGGATCACATCGACCCCCAATCGCCCTCCCGTCGCCGGTAGAGGCTGGGTGGCCCACCCTGCTCAGGAGCGTGCCCGTTCGCCGTCGGGGGCCCACCGTCGCCGCTCCGGCGCCGCGGCATCGCAGAGCACTGCTCGACGTTTTCCCCTCGGAGTGGCAGTCGGGTTTAAGGTTCTGGCACGTCTACGTGCATGGAGCGTGAGCGGGGGGGGGGGGCGTGGCGAGGCGCGAGAGGAGGCCCAGACTCCACGCAAGTCGGGACGCACTGGCGCGCCTCCTCGGCCCAGCGCCATCTGAAGAGGAGGCGGATGGGGGCGGAAAGGGGGGGGGGGGGGGGGGGCGAAGTGCCATGCAAGTGAACTTGCGCCAGCATCTAACGAAACATGCTGGCGTCGTCGGGCGGAGGGGGATGCCCAGGGGCAGGATTAGGAGGATGAAGGAGGATGGAGGACAGGGAGGATCAGGAGGATGGAGGAGGCAGGATAGAGGAGGACAGTGAGGATGGGGAGGAGGACGGCGCGGAGCGAGAGGAGGATCAGGAGGATGATCAGGATGACGACAAGGAAGAACAGGCGTGGGGCGGAGACGGGGGAAGGGGGACCCGTTGGGGATTGAGGGATCGACGCTCCTCAGGAGCCAATGCCGACGCCAGCCAGGCGCGCGGCGCCCGCGAGGCGCGCCGCACGTGCCAGGGCAGCCCCCTCGCCGTGGCCGAAGGTGTCAGTGCAAAGTGATCACGGGGGGCGCCCGCGCAGATGGCCCAAAAGAGGTTGCGGCGGCGTGTGTCTTAGCAGTGTTTTTTTTGTTGGCGGGGTCTGGGCGGGCCTGCACACGTGGAGCAGCATTATAGCGCCTCCCTCTCCCTGTTTTTTATATAAAAAGCAAAGTAATCATACTTATAAATAGTAATTATAATAATAACAATGATCACCATCACATCTATATATAATAAAAAAGGCCATGACGAGTGATCGCGGGGCGCCCGAGCGTGATCTGGATCCAGATCCTGCCACAGGGTACAGGTGGCATCGCTTCTGGCAAGGATGGTGGGCGAGGGCCTGCGCGGGCCCTGTGGAGGGACTGGTAGTAGGGGAACGAAGCGTGACATAAACATACAGATTCTGAGGTCCGCGCTGATTTCTTGGATCCGCGCCAGGGGCGGCGCCGGAGGCGCCGCCAGGGGACCTCAGCGCCGATCCGAGAAATCCGCGCGGACCTCCGAGTTTTGTGTTTCCCTAGGTTGAGCGGGGGGAGGGCCGAGGAGGGGATGTATGCAGTCGACCCGCAGAGAAAGGATAGGCATCCCTCCCAAGGGTACCCTTGCATCCCTGCTTCCCGGGTCCATCCTTTTACACTTTCGTTGGCCGCGCCCCGCTTGAAACGCTTCGAAATGGGCGTCCAAGGGCCTTGCATCCTTATCGCGCATCCTTACTCTGCGGGTTGACTGTATCGAGAAGAAGCAGTGATCAAGCTACCCCCCCCGGAAGGACGGCCATCTCGCTCACTCCCAACCGCCCTCCCACCACGCAATTAAGTTGCACCCGAGTTTCAGAATAGGCAGGTTCGGTGCCAAATCTCGGGAGGTTTGTATACCCTCTTGATTCCGTCTTTAGCGTCCGCTGGCGCCGATCAGCGTCCGGGAGTCGACGAGATAGCGCCGATTTGTAGCGCAGGCTAGCGTCGATGAGCGTCGATTTAGCGTCGATGAGCGTCGCCTAGCGTCGACCAGCGTCGATTCGCAAGAGCCGACGAGACGGTATGGGAGGCTCCCGGGAGTTGCCGCCGAAGGGTCGTCCTGAAAGGCTCTGGAGTGCTCCTGGAGGTCCTCTCCTCCTCGAGGAAGCGGCGTTTCCTCGAGGCAGTGACGACTCCCCTAACGTTACGTCGAGCATGTCCCTCTGCAGGAGGAATATTGTAGTGGCCTCCGGCCAGTGTTAGGTCGGGCCTGTCCCCCTACAGGGGGGGTGTCGACGAAAAATAAAAAATAGTCCAACAATGCCGCCAAAATGCCAACACAAATATCCAAGAAATAGTCCCCAGGCTATTTTTTGATTATTTTTTGGCAATTTGGGGGGTATTTTTAATTTTTCGTCGGAAATCTCCCTGTAGGGGGACAGGCCCGACTGAAGGCCAGTGCCGCCCGGGCTCCCAGGAGTGGCCGCCGACGGCAGGGGCCGCCCCCTTGACGGCCGTCGGATCCGAGGCGGTCGCCGGCACGGGGCGGATGCGACGCCCGCGAGGTGCGTCGCACGTGCCAGGGCAGCCACAACTTCAAGCAGTGGCGAAGCGTCCTGGCTCGCCTATAGCCCTACCAAGCAATGTTCTAAGAACCTCTTGTGGTTTTCACGAAATGTTCTCAGAACATTTCTGGCTGGAACTGTTTTGTTTTTGTATATCGGGTCTATGTTCTGAGAATATTGTTTTGTTATTAGAGCATGTTTGGGGTTCTAAGAACGTGTCGTGGTAGCACTATAGGAATGCCGGGACGGTCGGTCCCTGCTCAACAACTGGGGGAGTTGTGGTCCTTACCCCTCTGGGGGCCCATCGATTTCGACACCCCTCTCGACAGGTCGTCGATGCGATGGGTTCCCCCGGGGGGTAAGGACCACGGCTCCCCCAGTGATGGCCGGTCGGCGTGCCAGGGGCACCCCCCATCGTCCCTGCCAGCACCATGAGGCATGCAACAGTGCCTCCCTGTCAAATTATAGAATCCAGCGGCCAGTCGAGCTATAAAAAACGAACGTCCTCCCTTTATCGTCCCTGTGAAACTGCAAGATTGCAACATGAGGCGTTGCAGAAAGGGCCTTGCCTTCGAGAGTCGGAGGAGCTGTCATCTCTTCCTCGGCGGAAGGCGGCGGAAGGGCGGCGGAAGCCTCGACGGCTCGAAGGATTGTTTGCACGCTCAGGGCGTGCTGGGTCGCAACTCCCAGCCCGACCGACTCACCCGACATCTCCCCCCCGCGCGTGTGCGGCCCATGTGGTGCGGCGCCCAGGGGTGGGAACAACAACGACCACTACGTCGGTGAGGCGAGCGCTGGACCCTTGCACGCGGGTCCTGGACCTGGAGATCAGTCCCACCATGCCGAACACGGCCTCCAGGGAGCAAGTGCACTGGGGAGGCAAAAGGGCTCTTCGACGAACTGCTCGCGCTCTTTACCTGCTCGGAGTGGTGTGGTACCGTGGCAAGAAGTACACCAGGGTCACCGCCGCTGCTCTCCTCTCAGACCACCGACGCCAGGGGGCCCGTGGTGATGCTGAACATCTTTCTTCCACCTCTCCCCCGAGGGCACCACCTGCGCGCCCTCTGGACGACCTCCCTGACTCGGCCACCAGCGCCGCCAAGTATCATGCACGTTTCACCCGACGAGCTCATCGCCACAAGCAGCTGATGACCTTCTGGAGCTACAACTGCGAGAGCCTACTTCGAGCTGACCGCCTCGGAGAACTACTTCGTCTTGCGACCAAGGCCAACGTGTCGGTGGTGTGTCTCCAAAGCACCCTGCTGGAGTTGGGGCTGCCGTGGACGACGGAGGGCTACAGAGTTATCCCGACGCCACGCACCACACGTACGAGCCGTGACGGATGCCTGATAGCGTTCAATCTGCGACATTTTCTACCCTCCGAGCTGCGCGTTTCCCACAGCTGGCTGGAGGGCCGACTCCAAGGGATCAGACTACGAAGAGAGGGCCCCAGAGAAAGAGACATATACATCCTGAACGGTTACGCCCCCCTGAATGAGGTTAGTCACGCTGTGATGAGTACCGACCACCACGTGAGAGTTGCAGCCCATCGTGAGTTTCAGAATAAATATTGGAACCAATGCCGAGCTGCCCTGCAGCAAATTCCCCGCCGCACCGCCCTGGTGGTCACCATGGATGCCAACGCCGCCATGTCGCCGAACCCCCCCCCACGTTGGCTTCGCGGGCCAGCGCCGCGTGTACGCCGCCACCAACTACAACGGGACGCGCCTGCTGGACCTCTTGCAGACGTTCCATATGACCGCCCTCAACACATTCGGCAAGATGAACCGCCAGAACGGAACATGGAAGCACACCACAGGCCCAGGGTGGACCACCATAGACTACATTTGCACCAGGCTCCACGGCTCCTATGGCA